CCCATTCGACGGGGATCCAAATTTTCGAGATCGAACGTGACAATGGTTACCGGCACCGCGCATAAATTTTTCTGGCATGGTGCCCCGAACAGAACTTCTTTCAACGGGATCATATCCCTCTGTCATTTTAACAGTATGACTCTCAGTAGGATGTGCGCACTCGATGAAAATCCATCTTGCTTCTCAATTCACACCAGAAGCTTCAGCATAAGGACAAAGTTAGGCAAAGCCTCTATCCGCCCAATTTCTCAAGGAAGGCGCTTAGGTCTCTAATTCCATATGTTGATATATGTTGCCTTCGCCAGCCTTCGCCTCGCCGCGTTCGGCCAAGGGGCGTCGGACTTTGTTGTCCAGCGTTGCAGTCCGTTTCATTTTTCGATTGTGCCTGGCAGTGAGAAACACAAGAGAGCACCGCCTTATCCAATGGCCCACAGGCTGGCAACAGCAACCTAAGATGACACAGACGGAGTCTTGTGAATTCTCTCTCTCTCTTTGCCTAACGAAATTCGCGGTAAATGATTCCAGGTCTTGGACATCCCTACCTCTAACTGAAACTGCGTAATACTAGTAACAAGAAGCTACGAACGGGGCTCCTGGCCTTACTACTAGGAGCAAGGGCGCTACTAGGGGCTCCTGGCATCGCTACGAACGGAGCATCCTTACTACTAGTAACAAGAAGCTAAGTCGTTTAGATTCTCTTGACCTTTCCTTTCCTTTTCTCACCCAACCGCCGGTCGCCTCATCACTGTGGGCTGCTCCACCTGCAGCCGCGCGGACGAGGGCCGCAGCCGTGGCTCGGACTGGCAGGGCCGCAGCGCCGCCTTCGGCGACCTTGGACGGGAAGGCGAAGGGAGACTAAGGTTGATCCACTTGGAACAGCCAATGGGGGGAAAACACCAAAACAGTTAAACCAATAGCTATATTATATATATATATATTATATTATATATATATGTTACGTTATGTTTTATGTGTATATATATATATATTTTTAATGTATATGTTATATGTTAAATGTTGTAATATACATATGACACATATAGGAAAGCTTCACGCAGAACTGGGACACCCAAAAGCACGTCGTACTGACCCCAATCTCAAAACACTCCTCTGATCCTACCTGCATTGTGATTATGATCAAATGGTGTTTTAGGAATCTCTTAGGTTGGAGGCCGCTCAAGAAGCATGCTTTCCTCCATCTCAAGAAGCGAAGATGATTTCGATCCATTCGGCCGCCGGGCCAATCGGCAGAAATGTCACTTGGCCACCGCACAAGGTCTGCTTGGGTATTTCAGCCTCAGGCTCCGGGCTTTGGGGTCAGTGTTCTTGGGCTTGTTCTGAAATGTCAGGGCGCATCGCAGGAATCAAGGCCCTGTAGGGGACCGGGGCAAGATGATCGTCCAGAACTCTGCGGAAAACTCTCTGTTTGGCTTGCCTTGGGCAGTACAACTATTTGATGGGCCGCAAAGGCATTATTTGGCCCTGTCTTGACATGAATGGAAGCTAAAGTATCCATTGGTTCGACAAAAACGACTCGTTGCTTTGGGCTCTTCTTTTGTAAAAACACCACGGGTTTATACACTTCTATAAAAACACAGTTTGCCTTGGTCAACATCTTTTCAGTATCGATGAGTGCTAGGTCCTCCGACGACAATGTTGATCGGCATCGTGCAGTCAGTTGCGGCACGTAGCCGACTAGAGGAGGAGCCCCTGGGAGGATACGTGGCTCAAAGAAGTTTCTAGGTCTGACATCCGAGGGAGGAAGCTTCTCCACCTCGCGGGGGTTTGTCGAACGTTCCTCTTGAAGGGTCCAAACTGCGCAAGTGGACATGGGCATTCCAATGGGGATTGCTGCACAACATGCAGAGTTGAAGAACGAAAACACACGAAAATTACCCGGAAACAAAAGAACCAAAGTGAGGGAGTTTTGTCATCACGATGTGTTGTTGTGTGAACTTGCTCAAAAAGCCACCATGCCATGAAGTCGGGTGCTTCTCCCGATGCGAACGAGATTGAAAGCTTCAACCGGTGCACCCCCTAGAAGTCCAAAGACTATTCTTGGGGGGGACCACCGAAGTAACGGGTATTCCCGGACTCGGGTCAATTAAAGACAATTTTAGGGCACGGAGATCCCATGTCCTGAAGGACGCCACTGCTAGCGATGCCCTTTGTTACTAGTAGCTATTTGCTACTAGTAGTAAGGCGAGGAGCTACTAGTAGCGTCCTTGCTCCCAGTAGCGATGCCAGGAGCCCCTAGTAGCGTCCTTGCTCCTAGTAGTAAGGCCAGGAGCTACTAGTAGCGATGCCCTTTGCTCCTAGTAGCGTGTAGGCCCCTTGCTCGTCACCTAGGGTTACCTGATGTCTGTCAATCGGTTGATTCACTGAGCCATCGTGCAGCTTCTGCTCCGCCTCGGCCTCAGAAAAAGAAGCAAGGCTTGCAACGTTGGTGCTAGTTTTTGTAAGAGACTGGTGCTTGCTTGTTTGGACTTTCGTCCAGCATCTGCCAGTGTCATTCTTGAATTACCATCAATGATGTAAGCTCTCTCCACCTCCCTGGTCTAAGCCCTTCACGTAGACATTGATCGGCATCGCATGGCTCCCCGATCGTCCAAACTCTGCTGCCGATGGTCTGGCGAAGCACTCGGACAAGGAAGACCCGTAGTAGACTGTGTAGACCCCTTGCAGGTATTTCCAGGGCAGTAACGTCCTTGCTCCTAGTAGCGATGCCCTTTGCTAGTAGCGTGTAGAGTGCATTTCCAGGGCAAGTGTCAAGTGTCACCCATTGAGCCAGTCTTAGATGGGGATGCCCAAGATCCCGAAGCTGTGGTTTTGTGCTGCCCGCTCTGGAAGTTCTGTATCTGGCTCGATCGATGTGCTTCTCCCGATGCGTTGTCTTCCGTCTCACAAAGGACGACGGGATGAATGCGTCTGGGTTTGCGGAGAAAGAAGGAAGGAAAAAGGTATAACTTGAACATACTTGAACATAAGCTAGATAGTTTTTACTTGGGTTGGAGGCCTTGGCTTCTAGGTTGGCCATCGCTGTTAGGTTGAACATAAGCCATGTAGTTACCTGCAAAGGCTTCGGGGCTATCCTGTGAGCCCTCCACTCTCGCTTCGCCGCGCCGGGGTGATGCATAGGCGGAGTCGGAGCCAGCGGAGACCAAACTCAGCCCCGCCTGGCGTTGGAAATGGAGAGCCTGAAAAATCATGAAACAGTAACATCTGTGCGTAGATTTATGAACCATTTCACCCGAATCTCTCTCTTGGTGGCTTTCTCCTTTCTTATGCCATGGGGATTGCCAATAGGATGGCACAAAGGGTCCATTTTTTGATGGAAGGGGTAGGCCTTGGAGGGGCATCCTCACTGGTGAGACTTGTTGGAGAACTGATTTGCTTTGGCTGCTTCTTCCTCCACATTCCCCAATAGGTTGGAGGCCATCGCTTTTAGGAACAAGAAGCTACTAGTAGCTCCTGGCAATACTACTAGTAGCAAGAAGCTACGTTCGGGGCTCCTGGCCTTTCTACTAGGAACAAGAAGCTACTAGTAACAAGGGCATCGCTACGAACGGAGCAAGAAGCTACTAGGAACAAGTGCATCGCTTCTAGTAACAAGTGCCTTACTAGTAGTAACAAGAAGCTATTAGGAGCAAAGGGCATCGCTACTAGGAGCAAGAAGCTACTAAGAGCAAAGGGCATTGCTCTTAGGTTGGCGTGCAAGCAGGCCAGAAGGACCGAACGGAGGACCTGCGCGGAGTGGATTTGCGCGGAGAGCAGCTTCTTGTTACTAGAAGCGATGCCCTTGTTTCTAATAGCTTCTTGTTACTAGTAATAAGGCCAGGAGCCCCTAGTAGCGTCCTTGCTCCTAGTAGCGATGCCTGGTGTGTGCACATGCTGAAGATTTCGGAGATTTCCCCCAAGGCCACGCTGCATCAAGCTGTTTGATGAACGTCGATGGTTCGGCTGGGCTTCCGGCAGCCCTTGAAGTCATAACTCAGTGGCCTGGACGGCTGGACGAGTTCGACCCAACACCCTCGCGACGAACGGAGCGGCATCGCTACGAACGGGGCTCCTGGCCTTATTACTAGGATGCAACTTGAACTTGAACTTGAACCTTGAAAGCACGGCTGAAACAAGAAGTCCGTAAGCCCGGCGGCTTTGAGTCTCCGTGAAACTCGGCAGTGTTGTGGCAGTAGATGAGAATGGTCTGCAGGTCGAACTCCTCACCTTCATGCGACTTATTCCTCCAGGAATGCTCCTGTGCGCTACCCCCTCTGCTTCGAACGGAATGCGCCGAACATGACGTGCGAACGGGCGTGCGGGACCGGGAGAAGATGCGATCCCCACCAGATAGAGAAAAAAAGCCGTTCAAAACCACCTTTGAGATCCTTTAGGCATTTCCAGGAGAACTTCTGGTCTTGACTCGACTTGAAGCGACACGCCACGGGAACACAGCTCCGCCTCAGCAGCTCAAAGCCGAAGCCGGCATCTCAAGCAGAATTCCGCCTCGAAAGCACGGTGGGTGACATCAAAACCCCACGCCAAGAGGGGCTGGAATGGTGGCATCGCTACGAACGGAGCGATCGGACGCTACGAACGGGGCTCCCCACTGAACCTCCAAAGGTGCCAACCCCAGCTGTTTCTGAGAGACCCTGTCTGACCGGGGTCGCCTCGAAAGAGCCATGAAAAGCTCGTAGCTGTGGCTCAGCTGATGGAAGTCGTTGGCTACCGCAAGGCTGGCTGAGGTGCAATGCTTTAGTTATTGCTGCATGAGACGCAGTTGGTCCCAGGTCATGATTTTGACTCATCCAGGCTTGAGCTTTAAAAAGAACTGCAGGGCATGCTTTGATGCTTTCTGCGCATGGTCGGCCAGCAAACCAGCATTCACTTGCGTTGCGCATGCAACAGCTGAGAAGGTCATCTGTGTGATTCCATTTGTTTCCGAGACGGCGCAAAACCCTAAGTTAGGGTCCTAGATGGTCCTAGGTTTGGTCTTACTATCTGCCGTATCTACTGAGACGGCCGTTATCCCCAACCCCCATGACGCCACGTCATCGCCGTCCTTCAAGCTGCACAGGGCCATGTGGTTTTTCTGCGGAGCACTGAGACTGTGCTAAAGGCGTTGTTACAATCAGGCCCGGCTGCAGAAACTGGATTTCCCTTGTTTGGAAACTTGGCATCGCTACTAGCAACAAGGGCATTACTACTGGTAACAAGGGCAACACCAATGTTTCAACTGGGTTGCATGGGTAGCATGCAACCTAATGGCAATCGTCAGCAGTCTTTGTATGAACTTTCATCTCAAACGAGGAGGTCCCCAAAGTATCCTTAGCAAACAAGGACGACATAGACTAAACGGACTAAACTGACTACACACACGCAAGTGGGAATGGCACAAATTTTCCTCAACTGGGCCTCTTGCAGAATGCAGAACTCACATGCTGCACAGTAGCCGCTCCTGGCACAGTAGCCGCATGTGTCCCACGGCTCTTCTGAACCTCTCTGTGGAGCGAGAATCCCGTGAGGCTTTCGTCATTCAAGCTGCTCTGTTAGTGTCCTTTGGGACAGGTTGTTGCACATGTTTTGGCCCCTTTCCGGCGAGATTTTTGGTCGGAGAGTCCATGAAATCATCAAACCACTCACTCAAAGTCCAAGTTTCGTTCGGACGCTCTCCAGTTTCGTTTGGCTCGGCTTGCGCCGACGCCACATCATCATGCCAGTCATCAACGGACGAACCCCAGGTCACCTCATCCTCGAACGTGTGTGCGGAAAGGGGGAAGAATCACTTCAGCAATGTCACGTTTGATTTCAGATTGACTTCGTTCTTCTCCACTTTCCTCCCAGCTTCGTGCCCCAATATTCTGCGAAATGCGACTTTTGAGCCAATCTTCCAGACGTTCAGATGGCGCCCCCCCGCAGACCTTCAGACGTTCAGATGGTGTCCAACTTTCCCAACTCCAACTTCAAACTGACTGGTGCGACTCGTAAGGAATAAAGGAATGAACGGATTTTGAGGTATCTATTTCGGGGTGGTGAGTCTGAGTTCATTCCCTCAACTTCCCTGGCCCTACTTCGCGTGAGTCAACTGGAGCGTTCCCACCGAGCGAAACGTTCGAGTTCCTCGGTGCATCGAAAGGTCGTTCCACCGCCTCGTCCAGCAGGCCCTCACCATCGCTGCTGGTATCCTTGGAGTGATCAAATGGTTTTGGATGGAGTTAAGCAAGCCTGTTTTGAATGGTTTTGAGATACCACCTGTTGATCTTAAAGAAGTGGGTCACATTAGCAAAATTCTTATCAACTAAGGGCCCCCCAAAAGAGGGAACGAGGGTGAACAGGTCAAATTTGGTACGTATGTGGTCGGTCGTTGGAGGGCAAACTAGAATCCAAGGTGAAACATGACTCTGCACGGAGGGGGAGCCTAGTGCCTCACTGTCTCCAAGACCAAACGAAACTTCAGGCTGGAGAACTACCGCTTCACAAAGCAGCGCTCAAAAATGAAAAGTCTCTTCTCACTATCAGTGATGTGTTTGAAAGTGCCTATAATGTACTGTACGTTCCATCACTTTGAGTAAGCAATCCTTTTGGGTTAACCGCCGTCGTGAAAAAACGAGCGCAAAGTATAAGCACGTACCAACAATGTCTTCGTGCTCCCGGAGCAACTGCATTGCCAAATGTCCCAGTTCGCCAAACAAATCTAAGAAATGCACACGACGGAACAAATCGGAGCAAGCAACCGGTAGCAAAGCTACACAGCCCAAAAGGAAAGGGGGAGCCTGGGTCTCTCAGCTCAGCACCTAGAAGTAGGATGACTTGTGCAAATTTTTCGACGGTGGTCTCCTGCTTTCACGTGAGCAACAACAATATGGGACAGCCATAGGGGATTGAGTAGCTGCAGTTCCATTCTGGCACGCTCTCAGTGCAGCAATTGCAGCACTTCGAAATGACCATTCTTGTGAGCTCCAGACTCCAGCAACAAGCGCACCACTTCCAAGTGTCCATTGCCAGCTGCAGGCATCAAGGCGGTTCTCCCGCCCGTATCAGCCGCATTCCACAAAACTTCCAGATGGCCGTTTTTTTGTGCTGGAAGATGCACAGCTGGAGCAGTGTCTACACCCGTCCAATTGGGATCCAGTGGTTTCTGAAGCAAGCCAAGAAGTCAGTTCTCCTTACAAGCAAAGAGTAATGCCTTCCAAAAGGTCTTCTCAGGCGTGCAAACATGTCCGGGAAAAACCAACAGCGCACTTTGGTAGTTGCATGCCAGGCATATCATCCTGTAGCTCGCCCATGTCTTCACTCAAGAGTCTTAGTGGAGAACCTTTGAGCGGCCGTTCTTCAGGTCCCTAATATATCTTCCACTCTCCGCCATGCAACCCAATGAAGCTGGGTGAGTGTGGCACCCGAGTCTGTTGTAATCTCCATTTGATCGAACAATTAGAGCCGAACTAAGGCATATAAGTGATTCTATGTGCTCCGGCTCCTGATGAGGATTCCATTGACGATTAGACTGTACCTGAAAACCCAGCCCCAAGCAGAAACAAAAGTTGCAATATGGCGCCAGCTCGAGATCCACATAGCAAGTGGCTGCTTGGGGAGTTCCGTCCAGGACTCTTTTTGCTTCAAACGGGCTTTCTCCGTGAAAAAAACGCATCCAAGCATCTAATGGCTCGTAGCGACTGGACATAGACACAGCAAATAGCCTGTCAAGCACGCTTCTCTTTGGAGGTACGGTATGTCTGTCAAGGAGCTTCCCAACAAAACGGCCACCCCTAAAAGCACCCCAACAAAATGCTTTATTGCTTGCAGGTGGAGCACTTGCACACACCCGACGAAGTCCAAGAGAGCTGGACCTTCTGCATTGGAATTCGCGACGTGAGTTGTGAACACCGCTTCCCAGCCACCCCCATCGCGGGGCAGTTGTTGTGAATTTGTAGGCGATCGTGGGTCCTTTTGTTGGCCTTTTCTCGCTGGCTTCCGTGAGACGAAAGGGTGAAGAGTTCATTGTTTGATGGGCACAAGGTGAGCGGGACAAACCCTTCGAATGTCCGAGTTCGGAGCTCGGATGATGCATACCTCGGGGGGGAGCGAAGAAAAAAAACATTCTTACAATATGCACCTAGCCCGCTATAGCCTCCCCACTCCAAAACATTTGGCGGGCACATTGTCTCTGGTCAAACAGTTTGAAAGAGAAACTTCGCAAGGGATCCTGGCTGCTCGGGAATGTTAGCCTGGACGCCCAAACCGCCCTGCTTGGCTGCTTGCTATCCAAGCACCTGCCTCGAACCGGGCCTGGGGTTCCTTTTTGAACGTTGGTCTATCCTTGGTCGGCGCCTCCTGAGCAGGAGCACCACGGCTGCTGCCACCCCCAGCGCGGCGCTTAAGACCACTGTGGATTGCACCCAGGAGCCTCGGAAACGAGCCGATGAAAAGAAGCACCACATCAACATGAAGTGGCTGTGAGAAAACACGGCTCGTGTACAAAAAACTCGCTGTGAGAAGCAAAAGCAGCCCAAAAAGGATCAGCAGCGGCGAAAAGAACCCTCCAGATTTCGATCGAAACTAACAGGAAGGTCCCACCAATCCAGGTGCAGTAGCTCCACGGGTGGTTTTCCCCTTGTCTGTTCCAATTTTTTTTGCAAAATCCTCCCATTTTTTCGAAGTAACAGGCCTGCATCCTTGAATTTCGCTCGGGCATCGGGGAAGGTTTGGGGGATGTGGTTCGAAGCTTTTTCGCTGTGCCAAGGTATGCAACTCATGCATGGTCCTTTGAGTCGCGGCCTTGCCATCTCACTCACCAGTTTCTTCCCCTTCGCAGCGCGCATGCCTTCGCAGGCGCTCCTTCCAAGTGGCCGCCCTGAAGATGCTTCTGCAGGGCCTCGCCGGACGATGGAACCGATGACCGAGGATCCAAGGACTCACTTGAAAAAGAGAGGGTTTTCAGTTAGTAGTAACAAGGACGCTACTGGGGGATCCTGGCATCGCTTCTAGTAACAAGTGCCTTACTACTAGTAACAAGAAGCTAGAGGAACAGGTGGATTTAATTTTTAACTTAGTTTAATTCTAATTAAACTTAATTCTAATTACTAAGTCTTGTTTCTACTAGCTTCTTGTTACTACTAGTAAGGCACTTGTTACTAGAAGCGATGCACTTGTTCCTAGTAGCTTCCATCGGTTCCAAAGCCCAAGAGTTCCCAGTAGTAAGGCCAGGAGCCCCGTTCGTAGCTTCTTGTTCCTATAGTAGCTATTTGTGATTGTTTCAAAACACTGCGCTTTTGCATGTCCACACATGGTTCCACCTGGCTTCCAAATTTTGGTCCCAAGAACTGGAGGTGGAACCCAGGACACCGTGAGTGAACCCCCGCCGTCGTCCACAACCCGCCTTGAAACAGCACTAGGGTGGAGGCCATCCTTCTTAGGCTCCTTTTGCTATCAAGTTGGAGGCCATCGCTTCTAGGTTGGAGGCAGTCCACTACCCGCCTCCAGGCTGGCATCCCAAAGGTCGGCAGCTTTGAAACCGCACTTCTGCCGCAGGCACTTCTCCTGTCAGTCACGGTCGTCCGTCTCCCGTGTCGTCATCTGGCCGTGACGGGGAGCGGACCTTTGGCAGGTGGGGAAGGAGACTTTCCGGATGAACTGCGCTGTGAATCTGGCAAGGGAACCAGCTGCAGCCGCCCACCTTTTCTAGAGCACTGTGAGGTGAACTTTTTACTTGGATTTACTGATCACTGTCATAGGTCACTTGCTCAGGAATTCTGGAGCTTCATCAAGGAAACATGATCAAGACCGCCAAGAGCTTCATTCACATTCTGTGCGGTGCGTGGACACACTTCCTTTGCTGAAAGCCATCCAACGAGCCAACGAACGTGGCGATACCTGTGGCCATTGGAGAGGACCCCAAAACAATGAAGGACAACTTGACAATTTTGCTCACTAGTCATTACAACCTAGCTCTGAGCCGGTGAAAACCATGCTTTCCATTGCGGGGTCTTCAGTGCATGCATGCCGCAATCTGTGAGCTGCGGGATCAACAAGTTTATCCCCAAGAAATCCCCCACAAACACGGCCGCGCCTTGTTTTGGGCTCATATGACGATCACACTGGAACATTCTCTGAACATCCACGAGCAGCTTGTCTGGTGGATCACGTGCGGATCGCACGCCTCACAACTTCACCAAATGGATCCATGACTTGGCGCTCCGGAACCTCACCGAACCTCCCTTCTTCCTATAGCCTGATCCGCCCATCCCTTCCAGTCCAGCGCGTGGTACTGTGGCAGGTTGATGCCAAAGACGTCCTCCTCGTTGGTGGCGTTGCAACGGATCGGCATCTTGGCGCAGCCCACCTGGCGGTTTGTGCTTGATGACTTCCTTCCCTCAGTGGGTGAAGTATTTGCCAAACTGAGGGGGAGTTGCTTCCAAAGGATGGGGGGTTGCCAGCCTCTCTACACAAGGATGCTTTATAGCCAGTTGAAGAAGCGTGCTTCTGTCGTCAGTCATAAACTGACGCGGATGTTGGCCCTCCAAAAATGATTTGTCCTCAAACTGACATGAGCAGGTTCGAGAACCAATGTCTTGACAGTACCTGAGATTGGGCTGGCAAATGAAGCATGCGCTATGAACAATCGAATGTCTTCGCCCTCTAAAACGGCCTCTCTCTCTCTCTCTGCTGGCCTTTTCGACGATCTCTGAGGCGCAAGTGGCGCAAACACACCAGGAGTCCCCGCCGTTGCCACGAATTCGATCATCCTCAGGTGACGAAAGGATGGCTTTCAGCAGGAGAATCTTGTAGGTGCTGGGTTTGGAGGATGCACTGGCATGTTGAAATTTAAGGCCAGCTGAGATCTTTCAATGTCCCTACAATGCTTAGCTCATCCGTATCACTGCTTTGCTTCGCAAACCAGTAGGATCAAAATAGCGGGGCCATCTCGCGTGGTTCAATGTGTATCTGGCCCAAGATCATCTGGAATGACCACAGCAAGAGTTGAGTAAAAAGAAAGCCCCTCAATTACATAAAGCCCTCCATTTGGAGTAACCAACGGTCCGAAACGGACTGAAACGGACCCGGTGTCCACGTGCTCCACCAAGGTGCCCATTTCGCGGCTTGTCCCGTGATGTCCCACCAGTCTTGTGCCGGCGCAAAGTCACGGGGACGGCCGCTGGTGTCCAGGAGCTGAAGGCAAACGAAGCCTCCCAGCAGCGCCAGCTCTGGTGAGAGTCTGTCTGGTCTGGAAGAAGCCTGATTGGTCGCATGTCCAACATCTCTTCCACTACACTTTGGCATACGCCGTGCTGATGATGTCAAATGACATGGCAAGCATTTGCAGCACCAATAAAGCTCAAGACTCGTAACGCCGCTTCATGCGTAAGCAGCGAAAAGATCCAGACGTTTGAGCAATTGATGTGTTAAATTTTTTTCTCCGAGGTTTGTCAATAAGGAAGGGCATTCTCGAGGTCCCCCCCACCTCCATCCACGGTGCAGGTGCCGTCTTTGGACCGATCTTCTCCTGGCGTTCGGACACCGAAGGAGCACGCGGTCCAAGTGGGTTCCGGAACGAACGAATTGGGGACCCCACCCAGGTCTTCTCAATGTAGATCCGTGAAAGAATTGACATCAACTGGGTAGTTGGAGACGCCTCAACATGATTCAACACGCTGCCTGAAAACCATACAAGGGGGTCCTGCTTTTCCCTTGGTCGTGGGTATTGACAATGCTTTAAAGACGAGGTATCGCTGAAATGCCGAATGTCGCTAGTCATGGTCTGCCAAGATGCCCCCTATCCAAGTCATCATGTGTGGGGACAAGGTCCTGTTGAGAATAGCTGACCCATGGTCTAGATTTCCCATGTTTGGGGCAGTCTTTAAAAAGAAAGATGAGGGCATGAACCAAAATGGTGTATGATTATCCTTTAAACTCTTTTTTTACCATGGCCCATCTGCTTCCACACGGCGGCACCTGGGCATTTGGCCAGCTTCGAAGACGCCACGACGAGCATGGCGCAGTAAAGCTGTTTCATCGCACGATGCCAAGAGTTGCTGAGAAGCTCCATCTCCATGTGAACCAAATGGTGAGCCCAACACATTCTACAAAGAACGGAAGCACAGTAACATCTTGGACCATGTGAACTACGAGGCATGTAGAATATCTGGTCAAAAGGCGTACAACCTTATGCAGCAGCTCCTGGTTGGGAGCAACAGTGCTCGGCACCCTTGGTTTCAGGTATTTGCATGTACTTCAACAAAATGGCACAGTGCAACGCCTTGTTCACCTCAAACGAATCGTGTGAAGTTCATGGATCGGAGTCTTCAAACACGAAGCTGCTCAACACTCTACCTATGTTCGCATGTGTCGCCGCTTCCTCGCTGTTGAAAGCTTTGCCCGTCTTTGGGACGCAAAGGCTTTGGAAGGAACACAATCAGCACTAAGCACGGTTTCCATTTTCATGATGGATGCTGTGCTCCAACCCTGGCAGGCGATCCCGCAGTCTTTTTCCTGCGTTCCTGCTGTGCACATATCCGACCTGCAAGCGTCGTACCATGCTGGGCTTCCAGAAGCGGAGCCGGACGACGAACCCTTCGCCAGGAGCTTTGCTATGTTAGGCCCATCTCACCTGATTCGAAAGTGGAAAACCACTCACAAACATCACATCTTTTGCACTCTGAAACTCGTTCCTCAATCCTTAGCTGTAACCTGGACAAAGAAAGCAGCCTCATGCACTCTGATACACTTACATCTGTAATCCCCATACGTCCACTGCGTCAATGAAGCTATGGCTGGGACAGATCGCAAATATGTACAGCTATACATCTATGTATAAGATCTATATCAACATCTCCTTGTAGTCGAACACCTCATGCTTTCTACACACCATGCCATCCCAGCCTCCCCACCGGTGCCACTGCTTCGGGCATGCCACCGGTGCTGCCCCTTCAGTCGGTCTTCGCTTCGGTCTCCTCGGTCTCCTCGGTCTCCTCGGGTGGAGAAGACAACGGACTGGGTCCCTCGGTACGTCCGGTACTTCCGGTGTTCCGAGTTGAACTTCTGGAGGCAGGGCCACGTTCGTAGCTTCTAGTTACGTGCGTAGCGAAGCTACCTTGCTCCGTTCGTCGTACGGCCAGGAGCCCCGAACGTAGCGTCCGATCGCTCCTAGCAGTAAGGCCAGGAGCCCCTAGTAGCTTCTTGCTCCTAGCTGATCTTCTGGCCCCCCTTGGCTTGGTTCTCGAATTTCACTGCGAACTGTCCTACCTTCGTTCACGAAAAACAACAGCACTGTTCGGCAATCAACGACACATTGAAAAGGACACCGGTTGTGACGTACACGTCGAAATTTTCGGCGTCGTCCAGAAACGCCGCCTCAGAGAACTGCTTCAAAGGCTTCGGCGATGGCTTCATGGCCAACTGCATGACCTTTAAGAAGTAGTAGCCTGACGCTGACTCCTTGGAATTCTGCCCTGTTCTCTGTGGACGGGGGCTTGTACTAGTAGGGGTTTGGAGAGGCAGCTTAGTTCAATTTCTGAGGGACAGTAGCCTTCACCTTCTTTCTTGCAGCTGTTGAGTCCAAAGCAGCCGTGGCAGAGTAGCTCTGTCCACCAGTTTCTCAAAACCCTTCTGCCTTGGATGGTTGGTCAGTGTTCTTGGTATGCCCCAGTGAGAATTGACCAACACCCAAACGCCGGTGGACGCATCTCCCCCTTGTTTTCTCCGCCTCCCATCAGCACGGTGAGGAAGCCTCGGCCGATCGGCCGATGCTGAGAGAGGGGTCGCTAAAGTGAGGGCTGGGCACATTCCTCCAAGCGGTGGCTGAACGAAGGAGAGAAACCTGGTGCATCACTTAAGGATCGGAAGTGGAGTCTTTGTGAGAACTACCTGGAGAACGGATCTGGTGTGGAACACCTGGTGGTCCCCCCCCCCGCATGTCCAATGAGCCTTCGAACGAATCTTCAAACTCTTTTGGAGGCCATCTACCAGGGTGGAGGCCATTGCTACTAGGTTGGAGGCCATCGCTTCTGGGTTGGCCATCGCTTTGCTATTAGGTTTCATTCTTCGAACTCCAGCTGGACCCGCTCAGCAGCTGAAAAGGTGATCCTCCTTGAAGCTGAAGCCGAGGAGGCGGTGCAAGAAGCCCTCCGATACCGGACATCCGGTTGCCCAGCAGTTCCCGCAGAGGTGAATTGGTCCAAAAGAAATAACAACAACATTTTTCTTCGGCAGTAGTAGATCGCTTCTAGGTGGGAGGCCACAGCTAGTAGGTGGGAGGCCATCGCTAGTAGGTGGGAGGCCATCGCTTCAGTAGTAGGCGGCCATTCCTGGTCAAAGGCAGCATGCTCAGCATGTTCAGCGTGCCCTTGAAAGAGTCGTGGAACAGGTACTGGGTGGCACATTTTGCTCCATTTGCTCATCTTGGATTCCGAACGGCGATTGTCCGAATGGCTTCGAACATCGATGAGGCACGCGGCAAAGAGTTCCAGAGTGTGTACTGTGATGCGTTCGTAAATGCCACTCGCCTGACAAACAAAGGTGGCGCAAAACCACTGTCACCCTCTAAGAAAACTATGATTCATACATAGAGTTCGTCCGTAGATTCATCAACAACTATTGTGGCTTGTTCTGGCGGATGGTGATAGCAAAGATACGCCCCCCAAAAGACGCGATCAATGTCACCCTTTGGAGCGTTTTCAACGTTCGCCGCGTCCCGTCGACGAGGAGAACCCAAAGACCCGCACGGGTGGCCTACCTAAATCATCTAGTAGAAACAAGAAGCTACTAGGAACAAGTGCCACGCTAGTAGTAACAAGTGCCTTTCTAGTAGTAACAAAAAGCAACCACGTCGGCATCTCACGCCACATCGGTCGCTTCACCGCGCCTTGTTCTTGGCGGCGTTCCAGACCTCCCTGGCCGTCAGCTGCGTCAAGCCCCACGTGGTGAGTTCCGTTTGGCGCTTTATCAGCTGGTATGGGATTTACACAAGGCAACCCAAAGCAAAGGGAGAGCATATATATAAAAGTATTCTACATAAGGAACATTGGCGAATCTTCATCAACCTTCGGCACTGTTGGCATTATCTGCTTTTCATTCTAGTTCTATACATGGTTTTGCTTCCTGCCTCCTGGACTGTCCACTTCCTCTGGCTTGGCACATCGTAAGCTTGCTAGCACACAGTTTAAAGGGCACAACTTTCGCCAGGCTTCAGCGGCAGCCCCCTATCAGTGGCTTGTCTCACAAACCCCATGTGACACCAACTCCCTATAGTTTGGTGTTTTGGTGACCTCCTTCCGCGTTACAGGCGGCCCCTCTTTGTACATCTGCGCATCGGCGGGAGTGGTGCGTGGCGCACCTAAGGATGTTGCCGTGATCCTCCAAGACATCTTGGCCCAGCTCCCAAATCATCAACCCAGCCTCAGCAAAGCAAAAAGCTTGACACACCTCACATACCTGACCTCTGACACCTCCCCACTTCCAACCTCCAAGAACGGGTGGGTGGAAGTGAGGGAAACGCGCGCCCGTTAGCGTTACAAGAGCCGCATCCCAAATCATATGTCGAACATGGAAGTGTTACGCACGAGGCTCCACCTGCATGCGTTAACGGCTACACCTTCGCCGAGCCTAGCCTTGTTCGCTCAGGTCACAAGAACTCAGCGAGCGCCTCGGCCGCGGTCGACCGCCCCATATGCTTCGCTCCAAGTCACGATGCCTCGCTCCTCAGCCAATTGCACTTTCCTTGGGAAGCCCGTGGGGAACCGATGAAGCACCAGGTTTGATGAGGCTCAGGCTCCCTGCGACTCATCCGTTTGATGAAGAAAGCCGGTGAAAAAAGAGGATGGTGACCAAGTGGGCACCCAGAAGCCAACCAAAACCATTTGTCCCATCACGCGTTCGGATGGTGTCTTAGGCACCTTCCACGGCTGGTCGGCCCGACATGGCCATCCCGGAACTGTCTTGCCCATGGTGTGCGAAGAGCAGACTCTGCCAGGGTGCTTGGCGGCGCTCGCAGCGTTCACGAAGAAGAAGCCCTCCTGGCAATGAAGACTACTTAGGATTTGCTGAAGGAACCCGATAAAATTCAAAATCACCTTCAGCAAAGCCAGGAATATCAATGAATCAGGACCTTCCCACCTTTTTTGGAGTCCCCTCCAGTGACCTTTTGCACAGGAGGATGGTCACTGGGAAGATCCAGGAAGATCCAAAGTGCATTAGTTCGAGCACTTGCCATTCTGCCATCTATTCCTACCCCGGTGTGATCCAGGAGTGGCCAGGGTCAGTGACTCAAGACTTCGGAGGGGCGGTGTGGGTGGTGAAACATGGGCAGCTTCGCCTGGGATGTGTGCAGCACCGTTTGGTCAAGGACTTTCTCTTGGATTTCGGGAGGGCGAAGAAAAAGCAGGGGGAAGCCCCTGAGAATGCATTCCACACCATGAAGACAGGGAATGCATTGAGTGACGTGTAGGACCATTTTCTGGTGACCAGCCAGCTGCAAATGCACACTCAGGCCCAAATCCCCCCAAGAGTGACACTTCTTGAAGGCCTGGCTCAAAACTATCCACAAAAAGCATGCAAAAGGACAATGCTTCCGAAACATCTTGCTGCGTCCTTGGTGCGCTCTTGGCCCGAGGAGATGATGCTAGGCTCCTGGGAAACAAATGGACAGAAGACTTGGCATTCAGAACATGAGCTCAACAAGTAGTTTTATATTCTATTTATGGTTCAGAGGTCTTCAGGAGATCAGCTCAATTAAGCTTTGACCATTGAGTTTTTTCATCCGTCTTTTCCAACATGCTGCTATCTTTGCATCCGTGATCTTGATCTCATCCTTTTGACAGTGGCAGTTTGCCAAGCAACTTGAGGAGCCAGCCAAAGCTTACATCCGTCTGTTGCCAAGAAAGGTCACTGCACTGGTAGATGACCATCCGCAGATTTGGTGATATTGTTCGCAGCTTCTTTTCTCTGTCAAGTGGCCAAACTTAATTGCTCACCACTTACTTGCGCATTTTTTGCACCAAGTAAGGATGAAACATCATGTGGCAACTACAAGAAACACTTTCCAAACAACCACTTCGAAACCCATGCTGCAACAAATCTACGCAGCAAAGCTGCCCATTTCGGCTCCAGCAGTGTGGTGGCCGCCAGAAATGGACAAACCCCTTTGGCGGGCAGACGGGTCCGTTTCAAAGGGCCATGACCAGACTGGCCGTGGTCAGTTTCACACACTCCACGATCCAAAGCAGCACTGGGTCAGCCACCCATTGGATGCGTGTCGCAGCACATGGTCCGCGAAGCCGGTCGCCCAAGGTGGAGTAAGGGAGCCTGAATGGAAGGCCTGTGTTCCACAAAAAGGGTCGGCGTGAGCGACTTCTGCCGCTGAAGTCGTGACCATCTTCCAGCAGTCACATGTCGGGGTGCCGAACGAACGGAGGATAGGGGTGCCCATTATCCATCCACTCACTGGATGGGACTAAAAACCACCCCGTCGAACGTGACTCCTGGTTCCTGAGAGTAGACCGAAGCCAGTCACGGCTACTACGCCTCACGTGGCTTCTCTACATCGGACCGTGCGAAGGGTGAAAGTATGTCATCTGAGACGGCAGCCGTGCGCACTTCGGAGAGCTTCGTGCGCTGTTTCAGCTGCCCAAACACCGAGCCTCCCAGCGGGTGGGTTCTGCTCTGTTTCCTCTAGTCCGACTACGCGTGTGGCGGGTATGGCGCCTTGAAAAAACCGGGAATTGACCCCACAGAGGGGCACGTGATCCCCTCCTGAGTGACGATCTCCTGGTAGGTCGCAGGCACCGCACCGTTCTTGACCTTGTCAGACACGGCGCCGTTCCGCTCGAGACGACGAACGGGTTCCCGGTGCAATGCTGAGAGAGGAGAACATCGGTTTTGAACCCGGATTTGGGGCAGAGCCCGTGTGGGTACACCCAATCAGTGGATTTCAGTGTAGGATGGTCCCAAAGGAGGCTGGCTTGACCAACTGTCGCAGTGATTGGAAGACATCTGAACAAGTATAGGTACAAGTCATAGGCTATGGCCTCCAAAACATCTCAAGTACACCCACTTGACTTGGGAGCTGCAATGTGCATGTCTACCGATCCGAGCGACGAACCACTCGGCATGTCGAATAACTCCTTCGACCCTTCCCCGATCAAGGCTTTCCCGCTGGGCCCTCAATCCGGATCCCATCAGGGTCCAGGAGTTGGACTCACGCTCAACCCTTGCCACTGGTACTTTCAACCCTTGCTGGTCTCCAAGGTTCTTTCCAAAAGAGCCGCCCTTCGCCCGAGGATTCCGATACCGCTTCCAGTCCATCTCAAACAAGCAGCAGCGAAGAGAGGGATGCCTGGCGCCGTTCCCTCCGGGCCCGGCGCTGGTAACAAACGCAGGGTTTGGTTGTTGTTTATGGTGATGGCGCAATCCCCAGATTGCTGAGGCACAGGAGCCCGCAAACCGCTGGCCCCTGTATTTGTTGAGACCCTCCACAGGATGAGCTTTCGTGTTTCTGAGGTAGTGCAGGCCTCCTCCCTGAACAGAAGGTAGCTTTCTCCACCGTCATGGATGTTGCAACAACTTCTCCACCCAATGCTCCCCCCCACACCGACACACACACACACACACAAGTGCAGCAGGCACAGCCTTTCAGCAAATTCAGCTCGCGTGACATTAAACTGTCTCGTCCAAAACTTTCAGAAGCAAAAGTTTCAACCTGGTCTCTCGCCAGAAATGATCATTGCTAACGCATGGGAGAGAGGCATGTTTTGGGCGAGTTGTCTTGATCTTGTCTGCCCGCTTTAGGGCACCTTTTTATTGTACAGGGATGTGTGTCAAACCACATCGGCGCTTCAGAACCAAGCAGGATGACAGGGTGAAGTCGGGGTATACAGCCTTCATCGGCTTGGGTGCAAATGAAATTGCCATTTTGCAGAAATCACTGCATCACATCCTGGAGCGCTACCTTATCTACCTGTTCATGTGCCGCACTCCCTGACACAGGCCAAGAAGTCCGAAGTCATGGAGTCTACACCAAGTTCACACCAAAGTGAGTGTGGCTCCGGTTCACTTCGGCACGGCTCCAGCCACTGGGAGGACTCAGTGAGATCGGAGCACTGGATGGTGAGATCGGAACAAACAGCAAAGGCCGACCTTCCCAGCTCTCACCCTCTTCTCCTCACTTGGTTCACAACCCAACCGAACCATGAATGACCTGGAATGATCCGGCCATGTGCTCGCCACGAGTGCCTCCCGCACAACAAAAGGGCCCTCAGGCCGCCGAACATTGTCGGCTCATGGCCGTGAGCCCCGCCATGACTTCGGCATCATCGAACTCAAAGAAGCCAATGGATTCCTGAGGTGGGAGGTTATTGGCTTAGGGGCCATCGCTAGGTCGGTCGGCACCCGTTTTCGGTAGGCACGAAGCGAACTAACAGTGTGTTCTCCCCCGTGGCATGGGCCGCGAAGCCAGTTCCGGTGACCGTTCCGGAGTGAAACCCTTTCCCGGTCAACCCCGGAGCCCGGTCACCCGGAGTTCTTTTGGAGACCGTCCGACGGGTCGACGTGCGGTCCGGTGGCCCTGTCCACGAAACCGAAGGCGGTCACTGGTTTGGTAGCACCAAGGGGGATCGAAAGCCACGCTTCATGTGGTGATCTCCGGAAAAATGGACCAGGTGCTATAGGCATTTATAGTTTAGCAATGTTTAGCATAGGTTAAATGGAACTGGCCCGTCGCTTTGGATTCATAGCTGCCGCACACTGCTGCCATGTCTTCTTCGACACGTGGACAGGTGAGCCTTTCAGCTTGGCTTTGCCACGGCGGTTTAACAAACTGAGTGCTGGGAACTTGCCAGGCGCCCATCCGAATGGCCAATATCAACATCCGCTCCGGAAAGCAAGAAGCAGTTCGAACAGAATTTATTTTCGGCCGTCTACTTCCAAGAAGCCCCTCGAAGATCCTCAACACCCTGGTCTCGCTGGACATCCAAAGACACCTCTTTAAAGACTCCACGTACCAAAACCCTTTCCGCCAAAAAACACGCCGCGACGTCACGCCACGCAGCTTCCACCCTCCGCGCCGGGCGTCGTCGTGGGCGCCGCTCAGCAGGCGGTGCTTCTCGTCGGGGCCGCGGTGCCAGGCCAAGCAGCTCACCGTCAAGGAGTGGCCCGTGAGGCCCAGCAGGGAACGGATGTAACCTGGGCCGGGACGTGGGATGTGACCAAGGCAGTGCGCCTTGGCACGTGCAAAGCACACTGCTGTGCCACCTACTTCTTAAGAGGTAACAACTTTGCTGAGCGTCGTAGCCTGCAGTGAAACTGCGATTTCTTGGGAGGCAGCGGCCCAGCAAGCTTTCTCAGGCTCCGAATTGGACATCTAGCTAAACCGTCATTTTTGAACCACAGAGGTTGCGCAACTTCCTCACTTACAGAATGTCAAGCTACTTGACTTGATCCTAGCTTTGAACTGACATTCTGGAGTGGAGAGATCGGCTTCTCCGCAGCTTCGCCGGAAAAGCCTCGTCGCTACGGGAATGAACCTAGGATGGGTCGCATGAACTTCACCGCATATGGGGCCTCCCCCCTGGCCCACACCTTCGTCTGGGGCCTCCCTTTTCCGGAACCCAGCAACCCTTGGAGTCGACGAGGTCCTCGGGGCTTTCCTCGATCTGGACCGCCTTGGAGACGCTCTCCTTGGCCCGGGGGCGTCTTTCCAAGATGAAACACGACCGTTGAATACCTCCAACAGCGAAAGCTGTTCCGATTGCAAGAAAACGCTTGAATGTGCGTGCAACTCATCCTTCAATTTCTTCCGGTGAGCGGCGTGCAGTTTCAGCCTCAGCACCACGTCCGAACAAACCACTCCGCCGCGGGCGGAGGTCTGACGAGTCTCCAAGTGCTCAATCTCCTCCGTGAGCTCCCGGACTTCTGCCAAGTCGCCCTCGCCAGCATGCACCAACTCCTTAGAGTTTTTCGGGATTCGAAGTCGATCTGGTGACTGAGGTGGAGCCATTGCTGTCGACAGATGGGTCAGGTTGCAAACCTGGTTGAGATGAGGGGGCGGCCGCGCCTTCGCCTTCGCCTTCCCCTTCCCCTTCTTCGCCTTCGCCTTCGCCTTCGCCTTCTTCCTCTTCCTCTTCTTCTTCCTCTTCTTCCTCTTCTTCTTCTTCTTCTTCGGTCGACAGACTGTAGTCCGCCAAGGCCAAAATGTTCGGGTGTCCGTGGATCACATGGGACACGTTCAATCTCAGGACATGCTCAGCTATCAACAGTGCGGTGTTGAGGTAGGAGGCGTTCATGTTGTTGTTCTCAAGTGCAAAAATAGAAACGGCACTAGGATTCTTGAGCCAATCCCCCTAAATTCATACCCCCTTTGAAGCTTCCCTCGCAGGCGTTCTCCTAGTCGTTAGAGGGTCTTGATGGGCCTTTGGAGGCTTCGGTGGTGCCCTAAATATTGGAAAGGACCAACCTGACCAAACCCACGAACCCCACCAACCTTACCTTTTGCATCCGCTGGTCTCCTTTCTTTTTCCTAAACAGGGTGCCGCGCCGCAGGTGTTCCGGCCCCCCCTCCTCTCCCCTCCGTGGAACCGCCGCTGTTCGAGGTGCGATGGCCTGCTCCCGGCGCTCGCGCAGCGACTCCAGGAGCTCCTCCACGCCACCGGAGTCGCTGGACTTGCGGCGGCTCAGGCGACCCCCTGGAGCAGCGGAGCCGAGGTGGCACCGAGCGAAGTGGGAAAGCATGAAACGGGCAGGTGAGGTGGCATGAAGGGATCGAAGGGATGATAGGGATTGGGAACACAGCTCTGATAGGCCTTCGAAGTTTTCACCCTTCGAGATTTTCTCACACTGGGCTTGGGAATGTGCCATGTCTGTGAAATGGGCCTGTGCCATGTGCCGTTCTGGGTTGGAATGGCAGGTCGCTGGTCGGTTTCCATCGCCCATCCCCAACCCATCGAATCCCGAACTCGATCCCCGCGCCGATCCGACCACTCCCACGACCTCGGAGGGCCCCGACTCAACGACCCACTCACGAGCCCGGCACTTCGCACGTCGCGAACGAAGTCTTCCAAGGCTCGGAGGCCATAGGGCTTCAGCGCCCAAAGACGCACCTGGCTTCTTCGGCGCTAGCCGGAAGACGTGGTTCGGCGGCGCGCCGGAAGACGGCGCCTCCGTTGTTCCGTTTGTTTCGTTTTTTCTTCCGCACCCTGGTTTTGAGTTGGTCACTGGTCTCTCGAGTCTTGGGGTCCAGCGCTGAAATATTCGACGCTCGCAAGAGCTGGAAGACTGCTCACCTCTGTGGAAGCCAACGCGGTTCATGTTTTGGGTGAACGCCGCGAGGCGTGGGGGCGAAGCGCGGAGGTCCCATTCATCACGCGGCTTTCGGTCGGACATGTGCCCGAAGCAGCTTCTCCATGCAGATTTGACCAAAGCGTGCTGGCCCACAATGTGCACCCTCCGAATCAGCAGAACCAGAAGAATGAATTTGAGAACCAGTGAAACATGTAGAAGAAAACAACACCAACAGCGGCCATATCAATCCCAGCAGTCGCAAAAGGGGTGCACTTGGAGGAAGTCGGGGTTGCCCATTCTCACACTCACTGGATGGGACCCCCCCCAAAATACCCCAAAAAAGACCACTCCTTTCCTGCTCCTTAGCCTTCGGTGGTCGCGTCCTCCGACCCCCCCGCACGTCCCCGAAGGTCCTCGCCCCGAAGCGACTCCGAGGGAGTCAAACCCCTCGCCGGCGGCACGCTGCTGTCCGCCGCCCCGGAGGCGAACAACGCGCCGTCCGGCGACAAGGCCAAGCTCCTCCTGCATCCGGTGGAAGGGTCCGGAGAGTCGAACGGGACCCCGGCGGTGGCGGGGCTGAAGGGCATCCTCAGTCTGGACACCCTGTGTTCCTAAGCAGCTGCACCGGTTTGTCAAGAAGGTCGATGTGAGTTCTTCGGTAGGGTAATGAAGAAGCAAGCAAACGCGAGGCTGTTCTGTATCTCTCACCGCTGAGTGACTCACCTTTTATGGTGCAACATGGACCCCCAAAAGAAAGAAAGACTCCTTGGCTCCTCTTCTGGAGAAAGAGAAGGGTTCCGCACTTCCGTGTGGTTCTTCTGGTGAACCCCTGGAAGAATCCTCCTAAAGGTACGAATCGGAGTGCCCAAACGAATTATGGGGCGATGGAATGTGCTCGATATAGCACCCATCGTCCCCATCGTATTTCTTTCAGAGGTCAGGGCACTTGCTATCGGCCGGTTCTATTGAAGCAACGGAAATGAAGACCCTACCCAATGTGAATCACTCTGGTCTTTTCCAAGGCTCTGTAGGACTTATATGGGACACCCCGGTTGACCACCC